GATGCCTACCACAGGGCAGGTCTTTTTGCTCTCCCTAAGCACTTCTTAGATAATCATATCCTAAAGTTCTGTAATTGAAATTATGTGCCTCAGAAATACTGCAGTAGATCTGAATGTGTTGATTGTGTGACCCTCCGCTGGTAAAGAGAGCTTGAGTAAAGTGGTCCCTAAGTCCCTGAGAGGCTGGTCCCTCTTTCTGTCATTTTCCTGTTGGTGGCCTCCTGGCCCTCCATTTCTCAGCTTCCCTTGGCTTCTTCTCTTTTTCGTAGCCTGTAATATCATCAGAAACGATTTGAAGGAGGACCCGGTGGCTGGAGAACGAGTGATCTGGGGCAGACACCAGTTAAGATGTGGCTGGACTCAGCAAGTTGATCAGGAATGTGAGGGACTACGGAGGGAGGAGGCACCTGCTGGAGGGTAGTGGATTCTGAGTCTCAGGTAGGACACCAACTTGCTTGGTGAGGATAGACAAGTCACCTCCCCAATTTGGGCATCTGCAAACTGGAAAACAGGGTTTGTGTTAGAATCAGATTTTTTTCCCCTGGCTATTCCGGTTTTAGTATTTTGGATTCTGAGAACACGTTTGACCCTATTATAAGCCTGTGAAGAACGCGTGTAAGAATGGTGGTACCCACTGTGAGGAAGCCAAGGCCCCAGTAGGGAGCTGCCCAGTGCCACACAGGTGCCACGCCCAACTCCATCAACCCCCAGCGTTTGGTCTGGGTTTCTGGAGAACAGTTTTTTTGCTGGGTTGGCTGAGACATAGCGACACAAACGAGAAAAATTCGGTCTCAGGTCCAGGAAGCGGGCGGTTCCCCACAACCGGGTGAGGCCAAGGAGCTGGGCGGAGGCACCCGAAGCTAGCCAGCGCTGAAACGGGTGTGCTAGGGCAGGGCGGGGCCGGAGGAGGGGACACGCTGGGAAGGGTTAAAGGGAACCAAGAGCCAGCGGGAGTGCAGAGCCCTGAGGGCAGGGAGCGCTGCTGGGCATCACTGCCGCGCTCACCGGAGACAGAGCCCAGACGCAGGTAAGGCGCGCCCGCAGGGTTTGAAAAGTGCAGGGGTTTGCATCTCCCTGGCGGGGTCCAGGATGTGTTTTCCTTGACAGGCAGGACCCGATTTGGGATGCTGCTAAAATACTGAGTAGATTCTCCCCAGGGAGAAGAGCGGGTATCTCCAGGCAGCACGAGGGAGTTCAGAGCTTAGCTGCGCATGGACATCGTGGGAGGCTCGCACACGTCCTGCCAGGACTCCCTCAAGGCAGCCAGAGCTCCTCCCCGCCTACAGATAGGCAAGAGAACAGTACAGGTCTGCAGGGGGACATTCGCGGAAATACCGTTCCAGGAGTCAGTCTGGCTCGACCAGAGCGGCGGGCTCTGCAGAACTGCCGTGCCCGCTCTACTCCACTGTGACTAGCCCTCTGCGACCAGTTCTAGGAAAGCCGGGGACTCCCAAAGCGTCTTGTGTGGCTAGTAGCAGGTCTAGGTCGGAACGTCTTGGGTTCTAGTTTTCAGGTAGTGCAAACCTGTGCCGACCAACCATGGCTCTGTGACTTGTGCTTTCTTCTCTTAGGTCACACCTATGGAATGGGTCTCCTTCTCCAGCGGCCCCACATAAACCACATTAGGGCGCGGGAGTATTTGAGAGGTCTCTTAGCCAGCGTGGGAGAGCCCAGGGAGCGATTCCTCTTAATTCCTGCCTCCTACTGCTCATTCATTTGCATGTGAGGAAACTGAGGCCCTTATCTAGCTAGGGTCACAGCAGGGGCCAAACTGAATGAGAGCCCAGGACTCTATTTCACTTAAAGATATGGAATAAACTCATTCTCCCCGGCACTCAGCCACTTTCTCCATTCCAAAAGAGGGGTGCTGTGCTGGAGGCATAAAAAACTGCCTTTCAAGTCTTGACTCCCTCAGATGAAAACCAACAAGTCACTTTCTTCACTTCTCAAGGCGCATTTCTATCTGTAATGCGGCCATGCTTGAAGCACCTTCTAAGAGGGAGGCCAGACAAGACCAAGGACCTCCAGTCTCCACACGGCTACACATACTGGCCCAGGAGGGGGCAGAAACTCAGATCTCCTCCATCTCATACTACAGAACGGCACTTCTAATGGCAAGGGCTCATGGGAAACATGAAGGAGGCCAACATTTCTGAGATTCACCAAGAGTAGGAAGAACCCCCCAGGGGTGTCTGTGGAGGGTAGGAGGGCCACAGCAGGGAGTGGCACATGGTGACCATTCTTGGTAATGAGGGGTGAACTGAGACATGGAGACAGCTAGGGGAACAATGTGAGCAGGCTTCCCAGTAATGTTCTCTTACATTTGCTCTTTCTAAGACATTTTCCCATCTATTGTCTCTTCCAGTTCTCACAAGGTAAGCCGGGCATGGGTAATTGCCTCCATCTTACAGATGTGGTTCTGAGAAAATAAACGCAGTATTCAAGGTCACATAGCCAGACACAAGCCAGGACTGGGATCATGAAAGGCTCCCTTGAAAGGCAAGATCACAGGCTAGGCTGAGATTGGGGCTGTGTGTGTGTGCAGTTTGTGGGTGTGGGTGGCCACACCTTAAGTAGGTACACAGGGAAGAGCATTGCAAAACCATTTACTGGTGTTTGGGGGCCAAGAATGTTTGCCCTTTGGATACATGGGTTTGGATCAGATGCAGGAAGTGTCTGGGCTCCCAAAGGAGGCTCACAATCGTCTTTCCCTGCCCCATGCCACCTGATCAAGGAACCTCCCCTTTCCCCAAGGCAGCCTGTCCTGATCTAACTTGGAGTTGTTCCTCCTTTGTTTTTCTCTTAAAGCATTGAAAGCTATTTCCACGAATCTGCTGGGGAAAGAGTTAAGGGTGGGGGGCTCTCTTATGGAAGAGGTACTGATTCACTCATTCTCTTATTCTTCAGTGCTTGCTACGTAAACAGGCCTGGAGAATAAAGAAATGCACGAGGTCCAGGTCCCTGCCCTGAAACCCCCAAGCATATGCATATGGGCCCACAGGTATACTCACCCACAATGGCTAAACAGCAGGATTTTCTAATGAGGCTGTTTTCAAAGCACTCTGGTAACAAACGAAAGAAACTAACTAGTTGCTGAGTCGGGGAGGCGAGAGGAGTCCTGGGAAAGGAGGAATGAAGAGTTTGCTGAGCAGAGGGCAAGTGCAAAGGAATTCCTGCTTAAGAAAACAGCGCAAGCAAAGGCAAGAATCACGCACGGAAGTGTAAGCGGTGTCTGTCGGCTGAATTCACGGCCTGCAGCTCACCGTCGGGGCACAGACTCTGGGAGAACCATGGGGAGTTGGAGACAGGGGCAGGGTCACTTCCACAGGAGTTCCACAACCGTTAGCTCTTTTCAGCTTGCTCAACAGCCGTTCATCTTCATTCCAAGCTTGCCCATTGCCTATTTCAAGCAAAGGCCTCTCTACGACTGGAACTCTGCCTCTTCCATCCTGGAAGCTTGATAATCAATGACTCTCCAGGAGATGGAAGCCAGAGGCAGGTCCTAGGGAACCAGGCTACCCGTTTCCAGCTCTCTGCTTCTCCTCACCCCAACAGTATGCCCAGTACCTGGCACCTTATCCCCACTCAAGCCCAGCACCTGAGAGTACGAACTATAGCCTCTTTATTCCCCAGTCAGAACTCCAAATGTCCCAAGAGACTGACTGGAGGGTCTGATGGATGGGAGGCTGCTTGCCTCTCCGCTCCACTCAGTGAATTTCAGCCTGCCCTTCACTTGCCTTACTCCCATGTCCCACACTATCTGTCTCTTCCCCTGGACAGACCGTGTGGGTGAGGTCCTGGGGGAAACGGGGACACGTCAATCAGTTGTCCCTCAGTTTACCTGGGCTGGAATGTCAGGTGTAAGTCAATCCAGAGACTCAGGAATATCTTTACCTGCTAGGAACACTGCAGCCCTCTCCATCTCAGGCTTTGAAGGCCTCTAGAAGGCTCCCAAAGGCTGCCTCCACTAGCCAAGCCAATCTCACAAGATCTCACAACATGACTCTCTGAGTCATACTGTCACAGGATGTTTGAGCTGACAGTGACCCCTTCATTTTACAGATGCAGATAGAAGTTGAGATTAAAAAAAAAAAACAAAACGGAAATCACATGCCCAAAGTCACACAAGTAGCAGCTGGACCAAGACAGCTGCCTGGGCTTCCATTTCCTTTACTGTAAAATGAGGACAGTTGGCCTTCATGAACTCTGAAGGTCCTTCCAGCTCCTGCACTACACAAACCACCGCCACCATCTGTGGCATTTACAGCTGTGCCTTACAGAATGCTCTTTAATTTTCACAACAAAGCCATGCTATAGAGAGTTCATTCTGGGACATGTTCATTTTAATTATTTTATGGCATTTATTGGGAGTGTGTGCGTATGTGGAGGTCAGAGGGCAGCTTTCAGGAGTTGGTTAGTTCTCTCTTTCCACCATTGTAGATTCCAGGATCAAACTCAGGCCATCCGGGTTAGCAGCAGGTACCTTTACTCACTGAGTCATCACGGTGGCCCTCTGGGGCACATCTGTATGCTGTCTGTCCAAACGGATTTGATTAGTAACGCTCCTTCTATTTCTAGGGAACTGCAGACTGCCATTTCACGGCTCAGCTCACTCTCTTGGGTTCTAAAAGGCTTCTCCTAAGGTGCCAGCACCCTGGGGAAGGAGAAGGTTTTGAGGTTGTGCCGTTGGCTGGGCCACAAGTTAAATTGAGGCTTCCCACAAAGTCAGCCAGTTAAGATGTTAGGAACCTGGGACTGGGAGACAGCAATCAGATGTCCCTTGGCCACCACATAGTTCCTGTAGCTACCACTCTAGGCTGGCCTGGGCCAGCTGTTTCAGGAAGGGGAGAAGAATAGGGGTGGGGTCAGAACCCACAGAAAGATGATTGCATAACCTTTAGGAACTGACCTTGGGCGATCCACCCTTGGTTCTGAGGTTTGTGTGTCTGGTTCCTTTCTCTTCCTCCTCTTCTGCTTCCTCCCCAATTTCTGGCTCTCAGCTTTCCTGTCAACACCAAGACTCTGGCTATATCCACATCCCTGGAGAGGCCAAGGAACTGAGGAGCTGTGGGACACCCACCAGGAGATTCTCAAAGATGTCTGGGAGCCAGCAGAGTTCCTGTGCTGTTTGGTGAGTTCTCCAGATCTGTGATGCCTTCCTTCCCTGGGCCCCATCATTCAAAACCCCTTTCCAAGGAAGGAAACCCAAGAAAGCTGACCAGGAACAGGGAGATTTCACCTCTGCTGTATGGATGCTTTGGGTCTTAAAAACTGAGTGTATTTGCTTCTCAAAATGAAAAGCACATCCATCCTCTTCAATGCAGTAAAAGAGTGTTATAGTTATAGTTAAAAATGCTTAATTCCAAATCTGCCCTCTTAACCACAGGAGTGCATAACTAAGTAGTATTGCCCATCTTTACATTGCCGTGGCATAAACCTCTAGAACTCTGCATCCTGCAACAGAAACTTTACACTCGTTGTTCAACAACTCCCACTGATGATCTTTTTTTGATAGATAAGGAAGCCATGTCCATCACGGAAACTAACCTCCCTCAGCGTGGGCCTGTCTAGATCCATGCTGTTTGTCTGTGTCTGTCTGTCAATTTGTCTGGGGGCTCTTTCTCCTTAGACATTCATGTTAGTCATTCCCTCCCCCAAATCCGTCTCATGTGTCACATCTGTCCTGCTCCCACTTTGTCATGCCTTCTACCCTGCTCCAGAACTCAACACCTGTCCCCAAACATCTTAAGATCCTTATCACTGGCCTGCTCAACTCTCACCCCTGCCAGGTCACAGAGCAGCTACATCATTATCTCAAAGCACCGAGCTGCACATTTTAAAATGCAATGGTATCTTCAAAGCCAACTGTGGGAGCAAGTCCCAACACTCAGCATGGCACTGCAGTCCCCTGTGATTTAGACCCACTGCTTTCTTCTGCCCCACATCCTGTCTTCTCCTTCTGCCCATCTTACATTCCAACCTCTTGAAGTGATCTTCCATTCTTCTAGACATTTTGTGTACCGTCTTGTTGATGTTCATCTCTTTCCCGTCCTTGCCTTCTCTACTTCTTAGAACGGTTCAAGGTCCAGTTCGAATCACTCCATCCCAGCGAACATTCTCCAAGCCTTGATGAGTGTTAATCACCTTGTGTGGCTCCTCGGTTGCCACCTGCATCGTATTAGGTTGGCCTTGAGGGTGAGGACTGGGTTTGAGCTTTCTCAAGGCCCCGGCCTAGACCCTAGTCAGGGAAAATAATGACTGAGTCATTCATTTCACTGTGGTGTTCCTGCTTGCCACCGGCCCATGTGGACGAAAATTCAGGTTTCTTGCCTCTTACATCTTAATTCAGGAAGTCTATGTTCTTTTCCCTCCTTCATCCAGACACAGGATGGCAGAGAACCTCAAAGGCCTTTCACGGAATGTAGGCCAGTCGTGGGTGGCAGTAGGGTGCTGCTATATTATTTAGATTCTGTTCCTCTAATTCTGCATCGAGCTGTCATGAGTATTTATCATGGCCAGAACTACCTTTTCTAGGGGAGAGACCTGGTGGGTAATAATCATGTTTGTTGACAGTTCTGCCTAGGTGAAAGAGAGCTTTGGAATCAGCCACTGAATTGTGGGTATTTGGCCTATAAGAGCCCTGAAAATAGACACTCTTTACTACTCCATGATCATGAATAAGCTACTTATTTGTTTGGGGCCTCAGTTTCCCTGTGTATAAAACGGAAGGAGTTAGATTAGATAACCTCTAAAGTTTTTGTAACCTAGTCAGTTTATGCAATCCAAGAAAGAGAGAGAGTACTGTGGCTTTCAGTGGCCAGGGAGGGCTCTATTCCACACGCGCTGTGGATGCTCTCGTGAGCGCTTATGTCCAGCAGTGAGGAAAGCAGATGTAGCACTTCCTGTCACTGAGCCTGAGGCCTAGTGGAGAAGACAGACAAGCAAAGAAGAGCGGAGAAGAGACATGTATCGGGGCTCTAGCCTGGTCTGCAAAGTGGGGAAGTCGTTCAAGCTGCGGTAACAGAGGCACCCCTCCCCTTTTTCTCTTACCATCAGATGGCATTCCAGTTCTTCCTGTACCTCAGTTTCCATTGCTATGGAGACTTCCAATGGGACTGAGACCTGGTACCAGAGCCTCCATGCTGTGCTGAAGGCTCTGAATGCCACCCTTCACAGTCACTTGCTCTGCCCGCCCGGTCCAGGGCCAGTACCTGGGCCAGACAACCAAACTGAAGAGCGTCGGGCTAGCCTTCCTGGCCGTGATGACAACTCCTACATGTATATTCTCTTTGTCATGTTCCTATTTGCTGTCACTGTGGGCAGTCTCATCCTGGGGTACACCCGTTCACGCAAAGTGGACAAACGCAGTGACCCCTATCACGTGTACATCAAGAACCGCGTGTCTATGATCTGATGTGAGGTGCCTGAGGATGATGGAAGATTACGATGCCTGAGGATTGTCTTCTTGGGCCTCTAGAATTCAGCTCTGGACCCTACCAAGCTTCAGTGTCTCTATCTATATAAGAGCAACAAGAAATTGGTAAGAGAGATCGTCTCTGAGACCAGAGAGGAGGAGGGGCTGGTAGGCCTGGCCTTGTGGATAATACATTTTTTCCAGACAAAGATAGACATTATAAACCAGGAGCCCACGAACAAATATATAGAAGTATGGACTACCGGCAAGCAGGAAAAGAGGAAGACAAAGGGAAATGGAGCAGAAGACGCTCTGGACACATACTCCTTTAATGTATGATCTTCAAACATGAGAAACCTTGATAAAATCTCGCATAACGCTACTTATTTGTGTTTATATTTCTTTAAACATACTTAACATGTGGGTTTTGCCTCATCTGCCAACAAAGCAGAATAGGTATCACGACTGGAATCCAGGAACTCTGGTCCTTTTGTCTAAGACTTCTCAGTGACTCATGGGGTAAGATCCTGGCCCAAAGAACTTGAGGCCAAGCTTAGTAGTGCATGCCTGTAATCCTAGTGCTTAAGAGGCTGAGTGGGGAGGATCATTTGAGTTCAGGAGTTCAAGACTGGCCTGGGCAAGCCCTGTTTTGGTAGGGAGCTTGGAGGTCGGGGAGGCAGTGAGAAATACCTTACTTTTACAAATATTACCAAAGACATGTCACTGAGTTAATGTATTGCTTAAGCACTTCCAGGATTTTAAGACAGAAACTGTGCAAAGCGCAGGGTCCTGAGCATTATATTCATTAGTGACATGGGCATGTGCCTCTTCAGACATGTCACCCGGTCCTTCCCAGTCACATCTCCAATCCCAGGGACTTCACTACCTCGGATGTAGTTTCTTCTGCTCTGAATTCTGTGAGAATGTTCTAATACTAACTTGAAATTTGCTTCTAAGGGATTATTACTACACCTAGGAGATGGCCATATTAAATGATACAGTGTGTAAAAGGATTGATTTAATGGGAGAAGCAGTGAGCATCTTACTTTTAAAGTGGTGTATAACTTTAGCTGGTTGTTCCGGTTGGAAGTTTTTCGTTTTTATTAACTTGATACAATATAGGATCATCTAAGAAGAGGGAAAGTCAGCTGAGAAAATGCCCCCATCAGACTGACCGGCAGGTAAGCCCGTAGGTTGATGATTGGTGTGAAAGGTCCCAGGCCGCTGTGAGTAGTGTCATCCTTGGGCAATGGTCCTGGGTACCTAGGAAAGCAAACTGAACAAGCCAGGATGAGGAAGCCGGTAGGTGACTTCCCCCATCGATTCTGCTTTGGTTCCTGCCTCCAGGTTCCTGCTCTTACTGCCCTCAGTGATGGACTGTGACCTGAAAGATGTAACATAAAATAAACCCTTTCCTCCCCAAGTTTCTTTTGGTTATGATGTTTATCACAGCACTAAAAACTTTAAAAACAGCTGGATACTTACTTCCCTTTTTGGTCCTTTTTTTCTCTTTAGTATAATGAAGTAGACTTGAAAGTTTAATAGGCTTATCAGTTCTGCTCTTAACATTTGCATGCATTAGGCTGAAGCACATAAAATTGCTGTTTGTAGGTCAAAAGCAGGTGAGTGTCAGTCCTTTCGCATGGTTCTACCTAGTTCATACACCATGGTGAGTGAGTTCTTCACCAGCTATTTGCTCCATGCTGCACACTGAAACCACCCATTGCTGTGTCTGATTTCAATCCGAAGGACCCCTGTGTGCTTCCCAGGAGGCCTACAGAAACATACATACTTGTACTCAGCAGCTGCATTCAGCAAAGGATTTTTGATAACAGTTATCTCAATAGCTTGGATTATAGGTGGATTTTCCCTTTCCATTTCAGCAGTGTGTGTGATACATGACTTATATGACCCAACAGATGATGCTTGCATTATAAAGGACACGAAAGCTGCTTCTCCAGTAAAATCAAATATTTCTCAGTTAAAAGCCTGGGCTGCTCTTGCAGAGGACACAGGCTTGGTTTCCAGCTCCATGTGGCTCACAACCATCTGACTCCTGTTCTAAGGGATCCAGTGCCCTCTTCTGGCCCCTGAGGGCACCAGGCATGCTCGTGATGCACGGACAGACGTGCAGGCAAACATCCATACACATAAATAAAAATGAATACATCTTAGAAACAATAAGATAAATGCTTCTGTGTTTCTTGAATGGAGGCTCAAAAGAGCAGTTATGTTGGATCTCTGCAAAAGTATCAGAGCCGGTGTTTTGAGTTCTTTTTTTTTTTTTTTTTAATCTCTTCTTGAGGGGGAAGGGATGACTTCCTTAAGGACATATGATAAGGCAAGATGGCAGATTCTAGAGTCTACAGCCAATGGGACTCTAGAGGCTATCTACTCTAAACACCTAAGTAAATGGTGGGCTGCAATCAAGTACAGCTTTGAGTGGTCAGGTGATAAAGGATAGAAGTGTTCTTGAGAAATGAGATTAACTTGATCTGTGGGATTTGGAGAATGGGAGAAGTGGAGAACTGGAATACAGCTCTGAAATGTAGGATAAGCAGGCAGAGCGAATGCAGAAAACGAGGCAAGGGAGCTTGAGGCAGAGACCTTCAAACACACTGTCCTTGGGAACTGGGGAGAGGGAGCAGAAGCTGCCCCTGGGTGGCTCTGTGACTCTGTCCCCATCCGTGGAGAGGTCTCAGCACACACCTGTACTCAGCAGGAGACTTAATTCTAATTCCTTTACTTGCAAGTTACAGAGACCCAGATTGTATTGTTATGAGCACAGGGGAGATCATGAGAACCTCGGCACAGCTCATGGGTTCAAACTGGAGCTGCAGAGACTGTGGCAACCATAGGGAGCTCAGGACCAGGAACCTGTCTGAATTCACAAGACAGGCGGGCAGTGTGTTTCACTACTGAGAGTTGGTAGTAAAAAGTCTGGAATTTCAAGCGGCCGATTTAACATTCTAATATGCTCGGATGAAGGCATTCCCCTCAGCCCTCTGTCGGATGGACCTCAGACCAACTGAGGGAGTGGCTCAGAGTCATGGGCTCAGCCTATCGCTCAGCAGATTTTTGTCTGCTTCTGTTTTGCCCTCTGCTGGCCAAATCTCAGAACACAGCCTTGACTCTCAGCAAAGTTTCAGTCTCATTTTTTCCAGCTGGCATTTGTTGCGTGCATACTTCACGGTGAGCATCACATAGGCATGGTTGTCATATATGAGGAAAACAATGCCCGAGGGCATTTGCTATACATCAGGCTACGAACTTATACTCTTTAATTCAGATTTTAAAATTCTCATGATGATATAATATAGTGGGTACATTCTATAATCTTCAAAAAAGCTCACTTATTTTTGATCTAGTGCCTTCAGAACAAACCATTCAGTCATGCCTGTGGTGTACATAGGTCAGATCCCAAGTTCCCTGGAGCTAAATGGGAAAGTATTTTGGAAAAATGAGAGCAAAGTTTGACACCAGTGATGCTGAATTTGCTAGAAAGAGCACCCAGGACAAATGTTTAGTGGTGAGGAATGCTTGGCAGGGAAGATGTGCAAGAAAAAAAAAGTAGACAGGGAAGGAAAAGAGCCGGACAAAGTGTGCCAGGTTATGCCCAGCCTTGGTCTGATGCACAGGGAACTGCCCTCTGTGGCTGGGACATACACTATATAGCAGAACATACACTCCTCTGAGGCAAGGGGACCTTTTGTACCCCTAGTCAGTCCATCATTTGTAAGTAACCCTGCTCAAGATGGGAAGACCAGAAGAGGAAGCAAGGGGGTTTTGGTCAGTGGAGGATAGTTCTGTGGAGAAGGCAGGCAGCCATGAGCTGTGGCAGGAGAGCACCGTGAACACGAGCTAACCAGGATGTGCTCGTGGTTGAATTAGCAACAGTTTGGCTCCTGGAGAAGATTCTGAAGTTTGCCACTGAGTTGGTTCCACCTTTTGTGGCTCTCCTTTTTATACAAGTTGGGCCTGCTGGTGGTTAGAGGGGTACTCAACCCCCTTCCTCCCCCGCCCCCCAGCATGCTTCCATTTGCCTGAGGCCCAGTCTGGGGAAGGTGCAACACTAAGCTAATGATAGCATCACTCCCGCAGGCGAAGGGTTTCACATGGGACTACATCAGCATCTACCACAGCAGTGCTAACTGAGAAACAGGAGCAGAACGTTCCCTCTTGAGAGAGTCTACATGTTTAAGAGATGAGACGGAAACTGGGCAGGATGGTGCATGCTTGCAATCCCAGCACTTGGGAGGTAACATAAGAGGATCAGGAGTCCAAGGGCATCCTCAGCTACATAGTGAGTTCAAAGCTGGCCTTGGCTACAGGAACAGGGGTTCTCAAAAATCAGGGGTGAGGGGAAGAACATGAAATAAATAACAAAAACACAATAGCACTAAATCGAAGCAAGTAATAAAAAGTTAAGTACCAGAAGGCAGAGGGGACAGACTTTAATGTGGAGGTCAAAAAGAGGAAAGGGGACAGCGGGGCGATGACCTTTACTAGAGGCTGGCATGCTGACACATTTGCAATCTCAGCACTGGGGAAGTGGAGGCAGGTAGACCCCTGGGACTCACTGGCCATCCAGTGTAGCCTACTAGGAGAGTACCCAGCCAAAGAGAGATCCCGTCTCACAAAATAAGATGGATGGCATCTGAGAGACATCAGCCGAAGCTGCCCTCTGGCTTCCACATGTACACATATACACATGTACCTGCATGTAGAAGTATGTACACCACATACCCAAAAAGGAGGAGAAGGAAGTGTTTGTGGATGTTTCTGGAAGTGGACATTTAGTAAGACTTGATTAGGAGGTACAATAGAGTGCGGTCCATGATTGGTGACCGAAGTAGGTTGATGGCTCTGCTGCGTCGTCATTCAGTGACCCAGGACAATGACTCCAACTAACATGTATTACTCAGGGTCATTCTGGTTGAAGCATTTCTACCTAGTGAGGAGAAACAGAGAACAGCAGTCCAGGCCAGAGGTTGACTTGTAAGCACATTTGGCAAAAGCTGATACATTTCATTTGCTCAGGTCCGTTCAGGAGGGATCAGCCCACACAGGCTGCAAGGGAAGCTGGCACAGGAGGTCTGTCTGGCTACTCACACCCCAGCCAATGTCTGTTACTTTTGAACGAGGGACCATAGCTCGGTGAACAGCTAATAGTGTTGAGTCCACCCTTCTCTCTCCCAACACAACTGGTCAAGATCAAAACGCTTATAATGCTGCTAGAAGAGCCGGGCGGTGGTGGCGCACGCCTTTAATCCCAGCACTCGGGAGGCAGAGGCAGGTGGATCTCTGTGAGTTCGAGGCCAGCCTGGGCTACCAAGTGAGTTCCAGGAAAGGCACAAAGCTACACAGAGAAACCCTGTCTTG